TTTTTACGTTGTTTGCCTTCTTTAATTGCATTGTGTCAAAGTAGTGAACGTCGTCAAAGCTCAATAAATGCATTCAAACAATTCGTTATCAACAAGTCAAAAACTATAAGGAATGTTAAACTGCTTTCCCTTACCTGTCTTCTAATTTTCGTTTTTTCTTGGTTTATCATAAGTTGGGGTTAATGTTCGTTTATGGCTTATTATTTTTCTTTCTTCTTGGTAAATTTCATAAGTGATTTTTTCTTTATCTAAATATTTTTCAAGAATTTTGGTGTTATTTATTTTAAAAACATATGGAGCAATTTTTTCTCCTTGTTCTTTTTTTAGAATACTTCTAATAGTGCTGTAATTCTTGGGTTCCATAGTGGATTTGATATAAATTAGTTTCATATTAATACTTCTATATATACAGTCAACTGCCATTAATTCGACCGCCTCCGTTCCGGAGTCATCGGTCAATAATGAAAAGCGTATTAGTATCCGATAAGTGACCTTCCCAACGTTAAAGCATGCGACCAACATTCTGTCATACCCAGGAATCTCATTGTTCCGACCATTGACTATCCATACTATGCAAATATAATTCCGTCTGATTTCTCAATTAAATATTTGGTATTTCTTTAAGCGGTTCGATGATAGTTTCTGAGAACCAGGTTATGCCTGCTTCGTTTTCATCGATATCTTGGATCCATTATTATTATGTGATGAAAACACCGGATATGGTCATGTACAACGTAGTAAAATGTTATGCAATGTCAACAGAGATTATCATTCCAAATGTCGCGGCTGATGCTGAAACCCAGAAATTAATCAAACCAGAAAATTATAGACACCGGAATCCAGATCCTACTGCTTTTTCATAATTACGATTACGTTAGGCCCGTAAATGATAAAAACCTTTTTCAACGTCAGAACACAAGGTGCAGTCAATGATGCCTTTCATAAAAGGTTTATACCGATCAACAGAAGCCTTGTTTATTTGGCTAATAATGCTAACATTTAATTTATTGAATAACGTTATAAAGTTATATAATTTTGAATATGAATTTTGTAAGAAACACTTGTATGATCTGTACCAACTGTGCTCTTTTATGGAAATTCGAGTTATTTATTTATCAATCCCAACTACTATTTAACTTTTCCATATCGACTGATTTTATTGATTCTCTTATAGGTAGAGTAGACTTTATGATAATTCTCGATACTGTAGTACAGTCCCGAATTTGGACCTTAGAATGCTTTTAATAATACCGTATTCTTCTGAAAATAAGCAACACTTCAGAATAAATAATTTACCTTTATAAATGTATTCAATTGATTATTTTATTATTATTACAATAAAAGAAAATGATTAATCCGTCTCATTAATGATGTCAGTGGTATTATCGACAGAAATCACATGATTCTGTGGGAATTTCTTTCATTTTATTAAACTACCCGAAAATAAGCAACGCTATAACAAAAAAGTGTTGCTTATTTTCGGAAGAAACAACTCAAATGACAATAATTTGTTGAATATTTTGTAATTATATCATTCTTATTCCATATCATGTATTCATATAATAATAAATGGAGTAATATTATTTATACAGAAACATCGAAAGACTAATTATGAGAAAAATTATATGATATCGAAATTATTTTAAAAAAGAGACTAGAAGATGTCGAAGTTCAGCAATTTCTAATCTTAATTGCTGAACTTCTAAACGGGTTTCTTTTAATTCTTCCTTCAATATTTTGTTAGAGCTATCAAGTCCATTTGACTCGATGTATTCAATCAAATCCGAATATCTACAATTCAAAATGTTTTCAAGATTATCTTTCGTGCCCCAAAATTCGGGCGGAACCACTTCTCGTATTGTTATGGTAAGGAAGTTTATAATCTACAAAATAAAGTCGTTAATTCGAGAAAGTAAACCGCTAGACCATCTATACCTCTGTATGCGTGCTTTTATATCTATAAGTCTCAACAAACATATAAGTCATGCTCACCTGTTAACATGATGTTATATCCGGCTGACTCTTTGGCTCTTTTTGCTCTATTAGTAAATCTTCAAATCTGCCCAACGGTTTACCCTTATTGTTGTAATGCTGAACAAGGAATGTCTTTGGCTGCTTTTTGAAAATACTCGTCTGCTTTTTGAAAATATTCGTTGGCTTTTTGTGCATTCTTATTATTATCTTCTAATATACATGTTAAGTTACTTTATTAATTCCAGGTTAAAAAGAAAAACAAGTCACAGAATCATAATGTCTATAAAAACACATACCACTCTTCACTTGGTGTCCATATTAATATGCAAATATGGGATTCAATATATTTCCAATAACCATATTTGCATAGCTTCTTTCACTATAATCTGATTCTCATCTGGGTAAAGAATAGATTAATTATTATTATCCGTCTAAAATTTATTTTAAAACAGAAAATAATACAGAATATTAGCAACAATAATAATAGCAACTATATTATTTGATCAAAGACACACATCTAACAAATAGAGTTACTCACAATCCCTCAACCAAATCAATGCCTGTATCTGTTCTTCCCAACTAAATATTCATTAGTGCGTGGGCCGGTGGTGATTCGTTATATGGTGCCGGTGATTAATAGTTCATAGCGCGGCTGACGCGGCGCCTTAGTTGTATGTACTTTTAAGAGAATAAGCAAAGCGTAAAAAACGCGTAAAAAAAGTGTTGTAGATTCGAGCTTATTAATTGTGATATATTAATAATGTTCTCACCTTTATCACTTGCCCAGTGACCAGCCTTGACCTGGAAAGCGTGTGCACCGAGGATGGGAGTTTATAGTCTGATAGATATTGGAGTAATGCGTATTATAATTAGTACTCGTGGTAATTACCATCGCCACTAGCTTATAAGTAAGCTAATTACGTACCCGCAAAGCATAGTAATTGGGAGGCTAAGTCCCAAGCAGACTGTTGTTTTTTGAGGATTATGTAGCTCCTGCGGTAACCTCTGTTTCTCTAGCTTGCGGTATATACTTGAGAAGTGTTCGGCCAAGTACAGGGGGTTTGGTAAAGATCTTGTGTAGAGAGAAAACACGACAACGAGTTGACAAAGACTGACATTTGAGTCTACAAACTAGCCCTTACCATAGTGTTTGTGCAACTCTATAAATACACTTGGATTTTGACTCGAGAAAGAGACCTTGCCTAAAGAGCTACCTCTTAATATTATAAACGTTTCTCGTGCAAGAGATAACATGGCGGACGCCTTTCGTTTTTTGTTTTTTTTTTCCAAGCGCGACACAGATGGTGTGTTTATATTTGGTAAAAAAATTATGGGGACAGCACCCTCTTAATACTTAACCCCCGAAATCTTTCTGTGGCGCTCATGTCTATCTTTGCTCCCCATTTTCAATGTCTTTGTTCTTATTTATAGAAACCAATTACGGCAATTGCAATATTATGTTATTATCTCCTGACTGACAATATTTTTACTCCGATCTGATATTATGCATGTAAAGACTTAATAGTGTTATTATCGCTATTGTAAAGAGAAATGGCATTGAGCGTAGATGCTCTGAACTCCCACTTACACTCAATCGTTACTAAAGAAGACTATGCAGAGACTCTTATAAAATCAGATACATTCTCATTGATCCTTCAGACATTTGGTTCACCATCATCCACAGAACAATCCAAATCAATTGCCTCTGTGATAATCTCAAAATTATTCGAGAAACCTTCAGACGCACTCACTCGTCGCTGTGAAGATATAATAAACAAATGGCTCGAATCAACCGAAAAACAAGACAAACTCTTTGCATATAATGCGCTCGCGACCCTATTCCAAGTAAATGCGCAGACCGGTGCTAACATTCTGAATAAAGAGGGGTTGTTGGAAGATATTGAAGATTGTATTGAATTCGAATCTGACGACGTTAAATTAGCAATGGTGGAAACGCTTTCACAAGCGTGTTCTCACAATAATAGTAGGGTAACGGTTGGAGTCAAGCTTAGTAACTGTCTGTCGAATATGGTTAACAGCAGCAAAGACGAGAGAATAAAAATGGCGGCATCGGTGGCGCTAACGAAAATTCTTTTGGATGCCAAGGCATCTAATAAAGCTGAACCAAGTTCCAATCAGGATTCTAACATTACTAGCGAGAAATTAACTCAGTTGTTCCAGAATCTTGTTATCGATACCGACTCGAACGACCAAGCACGCGCTAATGCTGTTGAAGGATTGGCATATGCCAGTCTGAAGCCATCAGTAAAAGAATTGATTACAAATCACCCGACGCTTCTAAAGGTGCTCTTTAGTTTAGTCAAGCTGTCTGACACTCCGAAAACTGCTATTAACTATGGTATAGCAGTCATCATGGCAAATATTACGGCATATCGAAAGAAACTAACAGAATCAGAAGAGCAAGCTCTTAGACTACGCAAGCTCGCTGGCGAGAGAACCACAATAGATCCAGATCCATTGGAATCTGATGAATACGTGACAAGTCGATGTAAGAAAGTGATGACATTAGGAGGGATTCCCGTTCTGAATACATTGGCAAAGACAGCTAGCCAGTCGACTGTTCAATTAGTTGCGCAATCCTTTCTGAATCTGGCTACTGACCAAACGAATCGAGGTTTAATCGTCCAACAAAGCGGCGCTAAAACATTAACGTCAATTCTTTCAAAGTCTACCAGCGAGAATGTATTAACGCCGGCAACACAAGCACTAGCAAAGATTGCGATTTCATTGGATCCAAGACTCGCATTTCATAGTACTAATGCATCGGATCTCGTTCGTCCTTTCCTCAATTTATGCAAAAATGAAAATGAATTATGCCAATTTGAATCTTTAATGGCGCTCACAAATTTATGCAGCGTTGATGATGCATTACGACAGCGCATATACACCTTGAAAGGAATACCCGTGATTGAAAACCTGCAATTTTCAGATAACACGTTAGTCAGACGTGCGGCCACGGAATGTCTTTGCAATTTGATGTTTTGCGAACCTGTCGTTGCACTTTATAGTACGCCGTCCACGGCATCAAACAGAATCCAAATCATGCTTGCTTTATCTGACGTCGATGACTTTGAGACACGTCGAGCTGCCAGTGGAGCGTTGGCCATCCTGTCCAGTAATCCGGATGTATGCCAGATGATTGCTGATCGACCGAGAGGAGTTGATGTCGTGTTGGACTTGTTGAATGACGAGTCGCCAGAGCTGATGCATCGGGCAGCGGAGATATTTAGGAATATGGCAATGTTGGAAGGGGCGGTTGAGAAAATGGTGCAGAAGGGCGTGCACGAGAGATTTATCACATTGCTAAAGGAGTGCAAAGATGAAGGTGTGGTCGGCACTGCTGCTGAGGCTTTGAGGGAAATTGGAAAGTATGCTGGGTTGCAAGTTGGGGACAAGTAATTATTTGGGATAAGGGTAAGAGAGTTATTTAGACTACATTTTACGATTGAAGGTCAGTCATCCGTTGAAAGATTTTAATGAACAGATTACAGAACATTTTTACCTAATTGCAAAAGCCAATAACCAGACTTGAACATTTATAG